TAGCTCTGAGCCTTGGGGTCTTCTGTCACATGAAACTGTTCCAGCTTCCTAAAGAGTTCAGGAGTTCAAGTGCAAACTGAACGTTTGTGAAAGTGGACTGAAGACCATAAACCCGTGGGGAAGGGCACGGCGTTGTTATACAAAATCAAAATACAGTCATGGTCCCTGCTCTGTGACAATACAAAACGAAGACAATATGCAAAAAAAGACTTGCTTCTTATCCATGAAAATGGCAAGAGAGAGAAACCAGCCCTGAGGAGGGCCTGGCAGGGGTGGGCTGAACTCCTGTGGTCATCGGGGCTTTCCTCCCCTGTTTGTTTCAATGACCTCTCCCTGAGCTCTCCACATATGGGTAAGGAAAACACAGACCTTTGCAGGGATGGCCTCTGCCTGCTTGTCAGAATCAGTAAAATTTTATAAAACTTAGGGTTTTACTGAAAGCAGGTGGCACTTACTTTACATTGTGGTGGTTTCACACCTTCCCTGCAGACTGTTTTTTTCCAGCCTCAGTTGGTCTTGGTAAGTAGGACGAATTTTGTTCATTATTACTAACACAAAGCACACCAGAAACACAGTGGTGTCCAGGGATATTGATTGGGTTCCTGGGTCCTAACAATAATTCTTTTACATATCAAAAATACATTCTGAGGGGCCGGCTCCGTGGCTTAGCGGTTAAGTGCGCGCACTCTGATGCTGGCGGCCTGGGTTCGGATCCCGGGAGCGCCCCGAGGCACCACTTCTCCGTCCAACGTGAGGCCGAGTCCCACGTACAGCAACTAAAAAAGGATGTGAACCTATGACATACATCTGTCTGCTGGGGCTTTGGGGGGAAAAAAACTGAATAAATAAAATCTTTAAAAAAAAAAAAAACAAAACAAAACAAAAAACAAAAATACATTCTGAGTTCTGGTCAGGCTGACAGACCGACCACTCTCTCCCTTGGATGCAGCCTAGTCCTCTGTGCTGACGCCTGGGGTTGATCTTTGGGCAGGCACCACGTGTGCCCATGCCAAGGATCCCAACAGCCCTGCAACAGCTACCAAAGGGTAATGCGGTCAGAGTCCTTTCTTCATCTAGTCCAACCTTTCGTTTGATTGACAGTGTAAATGTCATTGCTGAATACTGAAGCCCTAAATGGGAACTGAGGCCACCTGGGCTAGGAGTGGTAGGGCCAGGCCGGAGCCCGACTGTTCTGCCATAGGGCCAAGTCAACATGCTGGAATACTATTCTGTTAATTGGTTCAGCCTGTGATCTGCAATTGCTATGATCAGGGAGGCTTCTGTGCTTCCATGCACTAATGGTTGAGAGGACAGATGTGTCCACACTAAGATGTCTGTTTTCATCAGCAAGTAAAAGGAAACCAACCTCACACTGGTTTAAACAATTAGGAAATTAACTCAACAAGAGGAGGTGCAAAAGCAGGGCACGTTCTGGGTCAGACAGTGTCTCCAAGAACCAAGCTCTTTGGGTTTCTCTGACCTGCTGTCCACTGTCAGCTTGATTCCAGGGCTGGTTCCCAAGAAGCTGATTGGTGACTGCCACCAATGGTTGGGGCTACAGGCTTGCCTGTTCACAGCCACCAAGGAGGGAAAGCTTGGCTTCCTGTAACTAGCTTTTTCTTAGAAGCACCCAGCAGGCCCTCCGCACTACTCTAGGACCACACTTACTTATGCCTGCCCTCTCCTGAGCTAGTCACTGGGAAGGAGATCACCATGACCAGCACAGATCAGTCAGCTGGGGGGTGGGGGGCGGATGGCTGCTGGGGATTCACCCACGATGTCCACCCTCTAGCCCACATCTCCTGGAAAGAAGACTATGGTTAGATTAGCGTAGTGTGAGGGCTATGCCTTGCCATGGATTTTGGAGACAATCAGTGATGGAATAACTTACTGTGCACTTACTTAGGCATGTTATGTGTGTTTGTTGAATCTTACTGTAAGTGGTATTGGGGAGGCAGGTTGATGTTATTGATCCCTAATCAGACACAATTGTTAAATCAGCAGCCAAAGAGCACTGGCCTCTCACGGGCTCCTAGAAGGCCTTTGTGTGATTATCAGCAACAAATAATAGCAAGGATCTCTGCACCAAGTGCTCCAAGCACCCTAACCCTGTCACTTCACTTAGTTCTCTCCAGGGCCTGTGGAGATGAGTTCTGTTATTATCTGCATTTTGCAAGTGAGAAAACCAGGGGTTAGAGCCATTAGGTAACTTGCCCATGGTCACACTCTTGCAACTGCTTCACCATAGTGTTTCCCTGGAATGTGTGTGAGCTGATACTGTGAGCAATTTTCTGACACGTGCAAGGTGAATTCCCTTCTAAAACTGACAGAAATCTCTGACTGCAGAGGACCAATCAGTAGGATCTTTTCCTCCAAACTCATAACAAACATGATGTTCAGTCAGCCTAAATTTTGCATTTCGTTATCCAAGCAAAATCATTCAATTTTATCACATAATACACAATCCATGCACACAAACCAACATTATTTCAATATACTAATTGTAACAATGAATACAGTTCTATTTTTCTGCAATCATATGCACAAGACTTACCTCAACTGCAGAAGGGGATCTGGATATTTAAAACCCAAAGGTACATGCTTTAAAAAAAAAGTTATTAGCATACGCTTCTAGTGTTATTCAATAACTGACACGTTAGGATGAACACTCAACTATGAGGGATTTTTAAGGTAAGTGACTTCAGGGATTCAGCACATTTTTCTCACATAAGAGAACAGATCATAATTTCTAAGATGGATTTATAAACAATAACCTAAAAATTGATCCATTACTTGCTCTTCTCGAGCCTTTTAAGAATTTGCATTATGTGGTGAAAAGACAAGCCTGAAGGTTATGGTTACCATGTGCTCTATGAGAGTTGACAAGGAGTCTCGTTTTGGGAAGGAAGCCATCATACCCTTGCCACACTAGTTCCAAGAGGAAGAGAGCACGTGTTTACAGAATCCCACTGTGTCCTGAGAGGGGTCGCATCCCCAAGGGAGGGGGACTACTTTCGAAATGAAATCAAACCAATGCAAGCAATACACAGCCTGGAGCCTGTCGGTTGTGTGAAGCCAGAGCAGTGTGTCTGGGGTGAGAGACCACAAATTTGCAACATGCTGCAACCAGAACCTCGGCTACTTTACCAGGGCTGCCCCCTTGGCAGCCTGACTGATGGTGGAGAGGAAGAGCCAGAGGGAGAGCTGGCCCTGGGGGCTACTGTGTAAGTTCAGACCCCAGGCTATAGCCAGAGACTGCCATCCCCAAGTCGAGTGCCCCCCATGCATGCTTGGCCTTGGACTCCTACCGTGGTCCACATCTCTCCTCCTAGGGTTCCCCTCTCGATAGGTGAGGGGAGGGGGCAGGGGCATCTAGTGTTTACAAAGTGCCTCAGGAGACTGCACAGGCAGATTGGGGATCTGGGGTTGGAGGGTCTGGGAAGGTTTCACAGAAGTGGTAGTTGAGCTGCACCTTGATTAAGAGTAAAAACTTAGTCCAGTCATGGGCAGTGACCTCAGCTTGTCACTAGAGTCTGGTAGAAGTGCCAATTTATAGGGTCTATCTGCAGTCTGTATTTAGATCTTTAGCTGAAGAAAAGTGAGACCTAAGAGTTCCTGAAATGATGTTATAGGTTATATTATGAGAGCTGGCACTGATATCATCAGACAATATTGCAGGACACCTTTTAGAATTTGATACTATGACAAACATTTTAAGGAGAAATATATGGCCAAGACAGATAGTGAATATTTGAGGGGAAAACCAGTCTAACTGAGCTAGACATAGGACTACCACAAAGGCGGTGCCAGCCGGTAAAATATCCCCTTCCACAGAAGTTTTCTCAGGAGAAGCTTAACAACCCTGATAACGTCCTGGTGATCATGGGCAAGATTCTGCAGAACAAGTTCTCTACATGGTCTCGGTCTCTTCCTTGTACAGATAATCTGATGATGTCTTATAGGAAATGGCATTCTGTGTTGACAGAGCAGAATGACAACAGCCCTCATTTTCTACTTTGTCTTTCAAGAGTGCCGTTATAATAGAGCCAGCGTGGGGTGGCAGCACTTCCACAAGAGCCAGAGAGAGGCTTGTACAAAATAAAACCGTATTAAGAAAGCCCAAAAAATAAAAGGAAGAAAGCCTTATCAACAAGTGCTAGCCTTAACATGGCAGAGTGTGTCCACTGTCCTTAAGGACTATTTCATGACATTTCTGTTTTAATCGTGTGTGTGTGTATACATGTGATATACTGATTGCTGATGTAAAATATATTAATACTTATAGATTATGGTCAAAAAAACTTTAAACCACTAGCTTAAGAGAATCAGGTAAGAAAAAAAATAAAGAGCACAAAGATGCAGTCAGACACATAATGAGCCAAAATAAAAGATTTTATTAAAGTCACATATTCAAATGTAATGACACGTTTCCAGTTTTAGTTTTTGAATGTTTCAAAAATATTGCAAGGAGAAAAAAGTACAAAATGCATGCTAAAGCTACACAAATTCTTTTGATCAGGAAATGGATACAGTAGCAATTAAGGGAAAACCCTATTATTTGTATATGTAAACTATAAATTTTAAAAATTCTCCGGGAGCTGAGAGTTGCAAATATTACAGAAGTTTAAAATAACAACATGTTTTATGCCAGGGGGTCCTAAAGCATGTTTTCAGCAGTGACTACTCCTCTGGTTTAGATAAAGATTCCCCACTCAAGTGTTAACTGCCCTAAATGAACTGCCCTAAACGACCTCAATGTCTCTTCAAAATTAGGATCTCACCTTCAAAAGTGTAATTCATGTTCTCTCCAAAGGTGGACTGAGAGGGAAAGTGCATCTAGAACGTTCACCAAGAACTGTTTCCAAAGATCTGCCTTGTGGTAAAGTGTAGGCAACAGGCCATATGTTCCTTAGAAGGCCTCTGAAGTAACAAGATATGAGCAGGAGATTAGGATTTAAAAGAACTGCCATCCCCAGTAAATCTGTGGCCCTTCAAATCCAGTGGCCTGTACTTAACCTTTAACACCACTACCCTAGAAGTCATGAATATGTAATGGAGCCACCCTGCTGTGAGCAGCATACATGAGATAATAAATTCCCTCTTGATTGCTACAGTAATTGGCTATGCCCCCAAGCATGAGACTTGATTATTCCAACATGTATAATTATGAAAGTTATTATAGGCATAAATTAGACAGCTCTTTTAAAAATACAGGTATAAAGAAATAGTGAATCTGAATAGACCAGTCACAGGTAAAGAGATTGAAACAGTAATCAAAAACCTCCCAAAAAATAAAAGTCCAGGACAAGATGGCTTTTCTGGAGAATTTTACCAAACATTCAAAGAAGATTTAATACCTATCCTTCTCAAACTATTCCAAAAAATAGAGGAAGATGGAACACTTCCTAACACATTCTATGAAGCCAAGATCACCCTGATACCAAAGCCAGACAAGGACAATGCAAAGAAGGAAAATTATAGGCCAATATCACTGATGAACATAGATGCAAAAATCCTCAACAAAATATTGGCAAACTGAATACAGTGTCCAGGAAGAGGGGGAATCCCCCTCCGCCCTTTCCCTTAAAGTTATTATGGCTGGCCAAATAATTAAAAGACAGGTTAGCAGGAGAAAATAATACCAAGCTTAATAACATGTATACATGGGAGAAACCAGGGAAACTGAGTTTGTCAACACAATAGCAGAGATTCTCATCTTAAATACTATCTTCAGCTAAAGACAAAGGAGGATGTTGGGGGTGGGTAGTGTGTTGGGATTTCAGAGGGGAAGAAGACAATTTACATGAAGAGGGAAATGTAGATGTTTGTCAGACAACTGCTTTTTTTTTTTTTTTGCGAGCAAGATCGGCCCTGAGCTAACATCTGCCAATCCTCCTCTTTTTGCTGAGGAAGACTGGCCCTGGGCTAACATCCATGCCCATCTTCCTCTACTTTATATGGGATGCTGCCACAGCATGGCTTGCCAAGCGGTGCATCAGTGCGAGCCCAGGATCTGAACCGGCGAACCCTGGACCGCCGCAGTGGAGCGCACGCACTTAACTGCTTGCACCAACGGGCCAGCCCTTGTCAGACAATTCTTTACAGGGCCACCTGTAAAGAATGTGGCCGGAGAGACAGAAATCACAGTAATCAAGAGTATGTAGATTTAAGTCTTTTCCTTCCATACTGATGAGAGTTTCCAGAGACAAGGCCATGCCCCACCCCCCTTCCCAGCACACAGAGGGAGATACCTTTACAAACAGAGATTTCCCTTATAAATGTAAATGTTTGTCTGCCAACTCCTTGTAGGGCCACCTAGAGAATGTGGCCTGGGAGAGACAGAATTTTTGATAAGAGGGGCTTGTTGGTGCCTTTCCTATTGTAACATCTATTTTGCATTATATTACAGCCATCATATGATAGTAACTCCCTCCTGGAACAGGTCTTCTATGTTAAATTCTTTAGGCAGTTTGGGGGAGGTCAAATGTCCATCAGAGAAAATAATCAAGGTAAAGAGATATATTTCACAGTGGCCAATTTTGATCTCCCACAACAGCAATACATTAAAAAGATCATACTCCATGATCAAGTGGGATTTATACCAGGGACAGAGGGATGGTTCAACATCGGCAAATCAGTCAATGTGATACACCACATTAACAAAATGAGAAATAAAAACCACATGATCATCTCAATAGATATAGAGAAAGCATTTTACAAGATCCAACATCCATTTATGATAAAAACTCTCAACAAAATGGATATAGAAAGAAAGTACCTCAGCAGAATAAAGGCCATATATGACAAACCCACAGCCAACATCATACTCAACAGGGAAAAACTGAAAGCCATTCCTCTGAGAACAGGGACAAGACAAGGGTGCCCACTCTCACCACTCTTTGACATAGTACTAGAAGTTCTTGCCAGAGCAATTAGGTAAGAAAAAGGAATAAAAGGAAAACAGATAGGCAACGAAGAAGTGAAACTCTCGCTGTTTGCAGATGACTTGAATTTATATATAGAAAATCCTAAAGAATCCATCAGAAAACTATTAGAAATAATCAACAACTACAGCAAAGTTGCAGGGTACAAAATCAACTTATAAAAATCAGTTGCATTTCTATACTCTAATAACGAACTAACAGAAAGAGAACTCAAGAAGACAATCCCATTTATAATCACAACAAAAAGAATAAAATATCTAGGAATAAATTTAACCAAGGAGGTGAAAGACCTATACAATAAAAACTATAAGACATTATTGAAAGAAATTGATTATGACATAAAGAAATGCAAAGACATCCCATGCACATGGATGGGAAAAATAAACATACTTAATATGTCCATACTACCTAAAGCAATCTACAGATTCAGTGCAATCCCAATCAGAATCCCAATGACATTCTTCACAGAAACAGAACAAAGAATCCTAAAATTCATATGGGGCAACAAAAGGCTCCAGATAGCTAAAGCAATCCTGAGAAAAAAGAACAAAGTTGCAGGCATCACAATCCCTCACTTCAAAATACACTGCAAAGCTATAATAATCCAAACAGCATGGTACTGGTTCAAAAACAGACACACAGATCAATGGAATAGAACTGAAAGCCCAGAAATAAAACCACACATCTACGGACAGCTAATTTTCAACCAAGGAGCTAAGAACATACAATGGAGAAAAGAAAGTCTCTTCAACAAATGGTTGGAAAATTGGACAATCACATGCAAAAGAATGAAAGTAGATTATTATCTTTTGCCATACACAAAAATTAACTCAAAATGGACCAACAACTTGAAGGTAAGACCTGAAACTATAAAACTCCTGGAAGAAAATATAGGCAGTATACTCTTTTTTTTTTTTTAATAATTTTATTTATTTATTTTTTCCCCCAAAGCCCCAGTAGATAGTTGTATGTCATAGCTGCACATCCTTCTAGTTGCTGTACGTGGGACGCGGCCTCAGCATGGCCAGAGAAGCGGTGCGTCGGTGCACGCCCAGGGTCCGAACCTGGGCCGCCAGTAGTGGAGTGCGCGCACTTAACCACTAAGCCACGGGGCCAGCCCAGCAGTATACTCTTTGACATCGGTCTTAGAGGGATCTTTTTGAATTCCATGCCTACACAGACAAGGGAAACAAAAGAAAAAATAAACAAGCGGGACTTCATCAGACTAAAGAGCTTCTGCAAGGCAAAGGAAACCAGGATCAAAATGAAAAGACAACCCGCCAGCTGGGAGAAAGTATTTGCAAAGCATATCTAACAAGGAGTTAATCTCCACAATATATAAAGAACTCACACAACTGAACAACAAAAAAACAACCTGATCAAAAATGGGCAGAGGATAGGAACAGATATTTTTCTAAGGAAGATATACAGATGGCCAATAGGCACATGAAAAGATGTTCAACATCACTAATCATCAGGGAAATGCAAATCAAAACAACACTAAGATATCACCTCACACCCGTCAGAATGGCTATAATCACCAAGACAAAAAACAACAAATGCTGGAGAGGTTGTGGAGAAAAGGGAAGCCTCATTCACTGCTGGTGGGAATGCAAACTGGTGCAGCCTCTATGGAAAACAGTATGGAGATTCCTCAAAAAATTAAAAATAGAAATACCTTATGATCCAGCTATCCCACTACTGGGTATTTATCCAAAGAACTTGAAATCAAGAATCCAAAGAGACTTATGCACCCCTCTGTTCATTGCATCATTATTCACTATAGCCAAGAAGTGGAAGCAACCCAAGTGTCTCTCGACTGATGAGTGGATAAAGAAGATGTGGTATATATACACAATGGAATACTACTCAGCCATAAAAAAGACAAAATCGTCCCATTTGCAATGACATGGATGGACCTGGAGGGTATTATGTTAAGTGAAATAAGCCAGACAGAGAAAGACAAGCACCATATGATGTCACTCCTATGTGGAAGATAAACTAACACACGGAAAGAGAGAACAGTTTGGTGGTTACCAGAGAGAAGGGGGTTAGGGGGTGGGCATAAGGGGTGAAGGGGCACATTTATATGGTGACTGACAAACAATAATATACAACTGAAATTTCAAAATGTTATAAACTAGTATGACATTAATAAAAAAAATACAGCTATAATACCACTCAGTGTGATCCCGAATCATATTTTATGGGGCAAGGTGAAAAAGGACCATTGGTTTTCACTATAGCAATTTTACTAATTTCTCTTAAATCTCAACCTTTCACCTACTCAACAAAGATCTTCCATTTTTACAATTACCAAGATATCACTCTCTCATCCTATGGGTCCATCCCTTGCTACACAGGAGGAGAAAAAGATCCCCTCCTGTCAAAAATAAGTGAAGAAAATGGCCTTTTAAATAACATTTTTAAAAAAGCTTTTCTTTTTCCTGATATGTCCCTTGGCATGTTAAGCTTTTTTTGTGAAAATTTTTAAGAGAAAAGTCTTTTTCCTCTTTATTCAGGAAAGGTGTAGGGATAAAACTTCTAATAAAGATACAACACAGTGTTTCTTGACAAGTTCTCTCTTTGGGGGAAAAATCACAATAGATAAAACATTTGCTAAATAGCACATTTCAAATTTTTAAATAAACAGTGCACTAAACATTCAGATTTTCTTATCTACATAATATAAGGTGTTCAATTCAAACGTCAGTCAAAAATTTTGGGCTTTGAGGTTCAGAAATCTTTGTGAATGCCTCAGTTTACCACTTAAAAAGTGCTTCTACATGCTTCCTTCCACACTTGCCCACCCTGGTAGGTGGTGCAGCCTCCACTAACCTTGGAGCAAACAGACTCGGGAGTTGGATCTGTTGTCAAAAGCCCCACACTAAGTTAATCGCAAATCTGGAATGTGGGGAGCCATTCAGGATGCTCTCCACTCTGCTACCACCACCTTCCTCAGCTGAAAGGTTATTAGTTTTCAGTTATTCTGGAAACTAACTCACTGATCGAAACTCTGATACACAATTGACTGATAAATATTGACTTTCCTAATATAGAAAAATGCCGATTGCCTAAGTCATAACCAAAACATCTATGAACAAATCAAATTTCATGTTGAAACCTAGAGCCTCAAGAAACATATTATATTTATTTCCAGGATTAATTAGCTGGATAGAAAGGTAAATATGATCGGGGTTGTGTTTCCTGGTGCTACAAATTTTCAGTTGACTCTGGTGCAATAGAAGAAAGTAAGTGGCTGAATGTTGCATATGTAAGCCTATGAGGATGCTAAGGGCCTTTGGAACACTGCAATACCCAGGCACTATTTTCACAGTGACACCAGGCTTGGCATAGTATTAAGCACTAGAGACACATGGTTATTTACTTCCAGGAGCTCACAATCTGAGATGTTAGGTACAAAGGCTCTAATTCTCCGTGGGAAAGTGGATAACAGTGAATGGATTGTGCCTGAGGCAGATTAGGAAAGAGTTCCTGAGGGTGACTTCCGAGTTGGGGCTTGACATAGAGGAGGGGTTTGCCTTACAGAGAAAGGGGGTTGGAGAGGCCCCTGGAGGCAGAGAGCAGAATGAGTAAGGTGTGTGAGAATGAGTAGGACACCATGCAGCACATTCAGGGATTGGGGTAGTTAAGAACCGCCAGAATCCAGGAAGTCACAAAAGCAGATGAGACAAGAAACAGACGCCCCTGTTTGGGGCCAGGTCATTCAGGGCCATTGCACTTATCCTATAGTTACTAGGAGGCTGTGGGAGCCTTTAGATGCTTTAGAAGAGATAGGTGACAAGAACAGATCTAAGTAGTAGAAAGACCACTCTGGTCTTCTATCTAAAGGCAAATTGAACACTTGTGAGGTAGAGTCCATTCTGTCAAAAACGGCCACCACAATAGATCCCCTCCTGCATGTTCTTCTTATGATGTGACTTTGACACCCCTCCCATTAAGTAGTGGAGTTATGTATTCCCTCCCCTAGAACCTGGACAGACCTTTGTGATGGCTCAGTGAGCAGCAAACAAGAAAGTAACTCTATGTAAAATGCCACTTTGTTCTAGTGATACTGGCTCTTGGGATGCATCTGCCATGCTATGAGGAAGCCCAGGCCACACGTGTCAGTGTTGACACTGCCAACCAGCATCAACCACTAGACACACAAAGAAGCCTTTCAGAGGACTTCAGCTACTATCTGACTTTGACCATGAGAAAACCCAAGAGAGAACCTATCTGAGCCCCCTAGAACTGCAAGATAATAATTTTTTAAAAAGTGATTGTTGGTTTCTAAGCCATTGGGCTTGTGATTAGTTATGCAGTGACAGATAACCAAGAAACATGCATTTCTTGACTCCCTCCCAAAACCTAAGGACAGTAAAGGAATAAAAAGATATAACCTAAAAGACAAAATCTGAGAGGAGGCAGAGGGTATGGAAACTGTCAATCCATTTTTGGAAGATATATCATGCATGGACAGTGGCAGCAGGCTTGGCAGAGGAGAAAGCTAACACCAAAGTGCCTGCAGGGAGGGACGCCAGTGAGGCACATGGGCCCCTGCCCCTAGAGAGGCTCAGAAGCTGGAGGCACAGGTGTCTGGGAGGGCCAGGGTGGGACTAAAGACAGGAAGATCAGTTGAGAGTCTCTGTAAGGAGTCATGAGAGCCTCAGATCCCCAACCCCACCCTATACAGACAAGTGACTGCCCTGCCCTTCCCCAGGCAGGAGACAGGAAGTTTTTCACTCCCAACACACACACACACACTTTGGATTCAACCTCTACACATGGACTCCTGTTTCCTGCCTGCCAAGTTCCCTCTCCACGACAGATGAAAATGTATGCTCAATATAAGGAATCAAAATTCTTACTGAGTTCAACAGTTTTTTTATTGGAAGACTACCACTGAGTGATGCCGTAATCTCAAGGTGACTGAAAAGACCCATTGTGAAGGCTTTTCAAATGGCCCCGCTCAGGAGCTTGGATTTCATCTGATTGGTCAGAGGTCCCAAACTAGTTCTGAGGCCCAGAACCATGCTTAAGAGATATTGCTTGGCCTGCGTAGTTCAAAAACCATTTGTAAATTGCCAACATTTTAAAGTCAAGAGATTTCACATTTACAATTCTGGATTTCTGGCTTCTCTTGAGAAATCCGAAGATACCTGGGCCGCATTCTGGTGCTGATGAGGCGCTGCCCGTTCAAGTGGGTAGTGAGCTCTCCAGGTAACACTACAAGCGTTTAACATACTAATGGTGTTTACATTAGCTTCCTAACCTCCTTCAGACTACTTGCTAGACTTCCCCCCTCCCCCTGCACTGCCTCCTCCTTAGGCATCTGAGTTTTCACTTCAGCCCTAAGCAATGCAGAACCATTAAAAAACTTTATAAACAGAAGAGGGCTAGAAATGGCTCCGTTTTAGACCCTTCCAGGCAGCAGCTTGAGGAAGGGAGGGAGAAAGGGAGGGAGGGAAAGGGCAGCTGATTGAGACTGGTTAGGAAGGTTAGGAAACCACAGCAGTGGGACAAGACAGGACCTAAATCAGAGAAGAGTGGGGGAAGGGCAAAATGTGAGGGTAGAACCAACAGGATTTGGTGTCCTTTAGACCCTCAGTCCTGACAGCGTACCGACAGTCACTGAAGGCTAGAAGCCTCAGGGTAGCATCCCATTTCTCCCCAAAGTGAAGGGTAGGATTCAAAGCAAAGCAAAGAAGGGTTTTCCAAGTAACCTTTGGCTTCTAGGCACATTTCTTGGCCTGTAGCCAACAGGCTGTGAGGTTGAAACAATCTTTTAAGAAACTCAAGGAATGCCACTATTTAACTTTTAGACTTCTCAAGTCAAAGGCCAGCAGTCCCAAGAGGCTTAGCTCTTGAGGTGGTGCTGGGCTAGTAAAAAAAACTCCAAAGCCTTAAGATTGAGAGTTTGTAACTAGGCGATATTTAAAAAAACAAAAAACGCCCTTCCAAGCAACTCATATTTTAAAACAGGGGACCAAGGGCAGGTGCATTTTTCTGAGAAAACAATCTAATTTTCCATCATGCTCCAAGATATTTGAGCCAAGTACAACTTAGAAATAATACCTTTTCAAGGCCCAGGAATCCCCAGGTCAGAAGCTAAAGGGGCATGACTTGCAGTAAAAGCCATTCTGGAAAGGGCTCAGGAGCCTACTCTTACGGTGTTCCTGTACCACTAATCCACCAGGGCGGTCTTTCTCTTTTCTCTTCCTGGGAAGAACAAGGGACATTTTTATACAAGCTGAGACCTCTCCAAGTAGCCTCCGCCTGTGACAGAGCTTGACTTTGACAGAATCAAGGTAGGCAGAAGAGGTTTTCTTCCTCTCAAAGTTGTCAAGGACAGAAGAGAAGAAATAAGCAAAAATAACTATTAATAAATGTTCCACCACTTGCTGGCGACATGACTTGGAGAAGCCGTCTTCCCTCTATTTAAGGCCTCAGCCTCTTCAGCTGTAAAAACAAAATAACACCATCTACTTCACAAGGTTACTGTGAAGATTGAACAGGATAATGTGTAAGTGTAAGGAATGTGCAATCTGGTATTCAGTGATTACATCTGTTCAGATTCCACCTTCTTGAAAAATAAGGCTAATAACAATTACATGAGGTTTAAAAGTTTATTTTATAAACATGTCATAATTATATAGATGATATAACCAGAAGTTTCATAAAATGATTACTATCATGGTGATAAACAAAGCATAAGTGGGCCGGCCCCGTGGCTTAGCGGTTAAGTGCGTGCGCTCCGCTGCCGGCGGCCCGGGTTCGGATCCCGGGTGCGCACCGAGGCACCACTCCTCCAGCCATGCTGAGGCCGCGTCCCACATACAGCAACTAGAAGGATGTGCAGCTATGACAGACAACTATGTACTGGGGCTTTGGGGGAAAAA